AAACAAAAAAGCATCTTTGGTTGGGTGATGTTCCCATTAATTGCAGCATGATGATACAGACATAAGTAGATTAACGTGATGACTTACTGAGATGAACGTGAAGCGATCTAGATGCCATGTTCATGCCGTGCCCTGCTTAGGGTAAGAACAATATGAATAGAAACCTTCATTGTCATTGTATACCAGATACAACGAAATTGGACATGCTGCTCCTAATGGTGCACAACAACAACTCCACACTAAAAAAGTATCACTCATAGACACACATTCCACATTAAAATAGAGTCCATAGTGCAATACTGCATCTATCAGCAGTAGTCCAGTGCAAATAGCAATAAAGTGGAGACAGAGAAAAAAACAGAACAAGAAAGAAAGTCAGTGAGAGTTTATCACAGTAATGGCCTGGGGGAAGAAACTGTTTCTAAATCTGGATGTGTGTGTTTTGATGGACCGACAGCGCCTGCCTGAGGGCAGCAGCTGAAACAGGTTATGGCCAGGGTGAGTGCAGTCTTTTGAGATAGTGGAAGCTCTTTTGAGGTAGCGAGCAGTGGCGATGTCGTTTAATGAGGGAAGTGAGCAGCCGATGACCTTTTCAGCTGTGCACATGATGCGTTGTAGTGAGTGTCTCTCCGCAGCTGTGCTGCCTGCGTACCAGACTGTAATGTTGTATGTTATGATGCTTTCAATGGCTGACCGGTAGAAGGCCACAAGCAGCTTCTCCTCCAGGTTGTTCCTCCTCAGCAGCCTGAGGAAATGGAGACGCTGCTGTGCCTTCTTGGTTATTTCTGTGGTGCTGATGTTCCAGGAGATGTTGTTGGATATGTGGAGCCCCAGGTACTTGAAAGAGTGAACCTGCTCCACACATGCTCCATTAATCCACAGTGGTGATGGGTCTGCCTTGTGTTTTCTCCTAAAGTCCAGGATGAGTTCTTTTGTTTTGGTTGTGTTTAGTTCCAGGTTATTTGTGCCGCACCACCTCGACAGTCTTTGGATCTCGTCTCTGTAATTGGACTCGTCTCCCCCTGTTATGAGTCCAACTACAACTGTGTCATCCGCAAACTTAATGATGTTGTTAGTCGGGTGGGCTGTGTTCAGAAAGACTTCGTCCTCCCCCGTGACCTTATAACACCTGCTTCATATCACCTGTGACCAGTGTTACTATACATAGACCATACACAGACCACCAGCTAGTGGTTAAAAATGTTATAGTCCATACATACAATACATCATTGACATCATTCTAATGGTGTGGGAAATATATCCAGACATGTATAGTGGTTGTACTTGAGGCTTTTCATATCATAGAAGACTGGACTATTGGTCTCGGAGGAAGTCTGTCCGAGTGCCTTTCTAGTTAATTATTGGTTTCATGCATCACCTCTTAGCTGCAGCAACTCTGAGCTCTCATGTTTCCCGACCTTCCAGCTTTGTTCTAAATAAGAGCACACTGTTATTCAGTGAATCAGTCAAACTCTCCACACAAACATCTGTAGATGGAGTTTAAAGGCTCACATGTTAAAGTTGTCACTTTGTCTGCTCCTCACTTTCCCTCTCTGTCTCCTCAACAGGAACATCTGTAGTCAATGTGACACAGACCTCCTATCAGGCAGAGGAGAACCACAACATCACACTGGAGTGGATGTTCACCACCAAACCTGGCAGCTCCCTCAAGCCCCTTTTGATCTACTGTGAACTGTTAACTGATCTCAGAGCCTCAGTCCTGTTTCATCTACATGAAGGTGTTGAGGTCCCAGAGTCTCAGGATGAACAGTTTACAGGACGAGTCCAGTGTGACAAAGACGTCCTCAGAGAGGGACGACTCAGACTTCATGTGTCCAGACTCAGGACTGATGACTCAGGCCAGTATATGTGTGAAGTGTTCACAAATTATGGCAGCAGCACTGCTACATGTCGGCTCACTGTCACTGGTAAGTAAACTCAGTAGATCTGTCTTAGCAGATTCAATTCTGCAGCTTTTCTGGATAAAAAAGAACCTGAGGAGAAAAATATTGTGGACCTCTGCAATCCACAATCTGTATACTTCCTTCTTGTAGTATCTGGTCTTGATAAATATTGACATCCAGTCTTGATAACACCCATTGACCCTTCATTCAGTAAGAGAAGTAGCATCAGGCCGGCTCAGACCAGGGTCCAACAACAACACAGCTGTGCTCCATTGACTCTAATGCAGTCATTTCAGATTTCCTTCATTGTCAGGCTGGTTTTGTGGATTTGGAGCTAAATGTTGTGCCTGGGGCACGTCGTGTGTTACTGCTGCTCGTTACCTGGAGAAGTTGGAAAAAGATATACGTTTCCTCTCTGTTCCAAAACCAGAATCAAACCCTGAAAAGTGTAGGGTTAGCTAGCTAGCTACTGAAGATATGGACAGATTTTGTCAACGTGATAGCATCACAACTGTGCAAGATGCAGTCACAATACTTTACAGGTGTGTAGTGTAGACCAAATTCATAGAGAGGTGTGGTCTGAGCAAGGGAGACAGAAATAGGGGGGTAGGAAGTAGAGAAGGGACCACTGGCCCCCCACTTCATGCCACCTGTTTTAAGTTGCAAATCGCAGTGTTGCAGCTGGTGTGATCCTATCACAAGATGGTCGTTTTTAGTGAAATGTTATTTCTTCATAGGAATGACACAGATTTGTTTGGTCTCTTTACAGCAGCAAAGGCTTCGTCCAAACCTGTGAGACCAAACCCAACAAGTGCACAATCACAGGGTTGGGAATGGATCATCCTATATTGTTTCCTGGGACTGATACCAGCAGCAGCAGGCCTGGTTTTGGGTCACTTTTTGTACAGACGCTTTCGGCTTCGGAAATGGAGACAAAGAGTAAGACAAAGACCAGGACAAGGACAAGAGTCCAACAGTTCCATCAATACTCTTAATAATTTTAAGCCAAGACAACCAGATTCCTGCTCAGATCATAGTGATGGATCTGAGTCAGCTCCACACTCTGTACATGCATCACTGGAAACAGCTGCAACGATAAATTCAATGAGACAAGACTGTTCAATTTAATACCACAGAGAAACAGAAAATACTACTTTCCCATTGGCTGGCAGGGAGTAGAACTGCATATCAGGATATACCAGCAGGTGACATTTGATTAATTTATCTGACACTATTATCCAACATGATTTACAATAAGTGCATTCAACCATGTGAATATAACCCAGAAAGGGCAAGAATCAAGCAAGTACCTAATTTCTGAGGCGGCTGTGGCTCAGAGGTAGAGTGGGTCATCCACCAATCGACAGATCAGCGGTTCGATCCTGGGCTCCTCCAGGCTGCATGTCTAAGTATCCTTGAGCAAGATACTGAATTGCTCCCGATGGCTGTTCCATCGGTGTGTGAGTGTGTTAAAACCGAGTAGCAGGTGGCACCTTGTATGGTAGCCTCGGCCACCAGTGTGTGAATGGGTGAATGTGACTTGTAGTGTATAAAGCGCTTCGAGTGGTCATTAGATGACTAGAAAGACGCTACACAAATGCAGGTCCATTTACCACTTACCATCCATTTCCATCAAATAAGCTGAACTGCTTCAAGTGCATTTAGAAATAATAGGAAAACGAGAAAGTTTGGGTGAGCACATTCACAGCACAATAGTCAAGTACCAGTGTCTTGAAAAAAAAAAAAAAAAAATTGTAATGTGGTGTTTAAACTCAGATGTACAGTTACTGTTTTATTTGTGTCTGTTACAGCTGGCTGTTATTTTTTACTGTCTGTTATTTACGGTCATTATTTCATTGTATGTATGCTCAAAAGAAAAGCTCTGAGTTGTTAACACTGGTATTAATATTATAGAGCAGCAGAGGGAGCTCTTTGGTCTTNGTCATTATTTCATTGTATGTATGCTCAAAAGAAAAGCTCTGAGTTGTTAACACTGGTATTAATATTATAGAGCAGCAGAGGGAGCTCTTTGGTCTTGTTTGCT